ATCGAACCCGGGTCTCCTGCATTTCAGGCAGATACTTCACCATCTGAGCCACCAGGGAAGCCCCACATCCTAGTGAGGGCTTGGTAAAATGAAGTGTATCACTGTTTTGTTTTGGTTTTTTGGCCGTGTGGCATGCAGAATCTTAGTTCCCTGACCAGGGATGGAACCAGTGCCCCTGCATTGAGAGTGCAGAGTCTGAACCACTAGCTCGCTAAGGAAGCCCCACTGTTAAACAACTCTTAGTGGCGTTTATTGGATTAAGGTGTGGTGGGGGTGCCTCGGGGGCCTGGGGGATGTGGAAGTGAGGGACCCACAGAAGGAAGGGGAGGTCTTAGATTTCTCCCCAGGGTCTGGGGCGTCCAGCCAGGCTCAGAGTAAGAGTTCAAGTAGACCATTGGTCTGGGCTGACCACACGCAGCGCTCCCCCCCAGCCCCTGCTGCCCCAGTGACCCTGGACATTTGCCAGGCTAAGTTTAGCCATGAGCTACATGGGCTGCCACACTCTGTGGGCAGGGGTGGGGGTGGAGAGGAACTCAGCAGGTTTCCTGCCTGCTTCCTGGAAGCAGACCCACAAGTGACCCAGGTTTATATTCAAAACTGAACCCAGCTGGATGTCTCAGACTACATGTATGGGGCAGCCTTGCAGAGGTAAGAGATTTGGGCCAAGGCAGAGGTGGAATACTTGAATCTGGGGGAAAGAGACCCTTTGGTGAGGAGTGTGTGTGTGTGTGTGTGTGTGTGTGTGTGTGTGTACCTGCGTGTATCCACAGTTTTGTGAGAGGCTCTAGCTGCTGTCCTGCCCCTGTGGTCTCCATAAGTCCCAACATCCAGACTCTCTCCTTCATTCTTCTGACCCCGAGGACCCTGGGGCAGATTGTGTGACTTGGCTTGCGGAGGGGAAGTAATGGAGGCTTCCAACCCAGCCGCACCTAATGCACACTCAGCAGCCCCGCCCTGTTCCCCATCACTTAGGCCGCAGGCAAAGCCAGCCTGCACAAAGGGTATCAGGAGCGAGACAACAGCTGGGATCCCATCCCATCCCCAGGAGGGCGGAGGTGGTTTAAACTAGAAGTGAGTCAGAGGGAACTCCACCTCCTAGAGGATCTAAGGCTCGGAAGGCTTGAGCACCCCCCCACGCCCCGCCCCCCGTTGCTGGGGGGCAGGGTGGATGGAGTGGTTTACCGAGGAAGGGCAGGCTTAGGGGAGCATTTTGTGCTTTCAGAGCACTTTTGAGCGTGTGTTCCTCCACACCTTTGGGACTGGGGTAAGGTTGGTGTGCTCGACAGGTAAGATAATAAACCCATAGAGGCCAAGGAGGAAGGAGCTGGTGTTGTAACATGCTTACCCCATGCTGGGCACTGTGCTCAGCACCTGAGTTGGATGGTCTTGCTTAACCTCCCCTCTCTATGAAGGAGGGCCTGCTGTTAGCTCCATCTCACAGATAAAGCAGTGGAACCCTAGAGAAGCCAAGTGACTCACCCACAACCCCTCAAGAGGGGACAGAGTCACGGTTCAAACCTGAGCCTGTCTCTACAGCCCAGGGTCCTTTGTGATTTCTGCTCCTTTTGAGTCTTGTTCATAACCTTACTATCACTAGTGTTCCTATGGCTGCCTGTATTCCCTGTAGGGGCATTTGTTTGGCCTACTGCATCTGCAGACCCCTGTAGCAGGTTCATCTATTATTCCCATCCCATCACAGCTAACTTTTTATATGAAAATTTGCTCAGGGGCAAGCATTTTGGACTTCCCTAGTAGCTCAGATGTTAAACATCCGCCTGCAATGCAGGAGACCTGGGTTTGATCCCTGGGTTGGGAAGATCCCCTGGAGAAGGAAATGGCAACCCATATATCCTTGCCTGGAAAATTCCATGGACAGAGGAGCCTGGCGGGCTGTAGTCCATGGGGTCGTAAAGAGTTGGACACGACTGAGTAACTAACACACAAGCATTTTGCTGAGTGCTTTCTGTGAATTATTTCCTTTACAACAGCAGGTGTTATTATTCCCATTTTATAGATGAAAAGACTGAGATTCTGAAAAGTTGAACGGTTTGTCCAAGATCACATATCTAGTAGTGCACATGCTGGTGCTAACCCAGTCTGTCCCCTCCATAGTCCATCCTTAGCCTCTCATCACAGTGTTGATTGCTCCAGTTGATTTGGAGTTTTGAAACTTGCCTGCCCTAGTTTAGCACATCATCTTGCAACAGGCATGAGGACATACATAGGGAGCCCTGTGGAAACTGTTCGATAGAGAAAAGGAGGACTTCCCAGTTATAAGACTTAGTGATGGCATCCCACTCCCCAGCTGGTGGCACCCTACCCTGGAAACTGACTTCAAGAATCAGGTGTTGCCAAAGACTTTGGCTGTGACTTGTCAGGGCCTGCTTGTGCCCAAATGTGGCTGGCTATAGTACAGGCCCTTTAGGGCCTCAAAACACCCAATTATTTCCTGACTGACTGCTGCCTGGTATTCTACTATTATGTATGTTGTATGTTAGTCGCCTGGTCGCGTCTTACTCTTTGCAACTCCGTGGACTGTAGCCGGCCAAGCTCCTCTGTCCATGGGATTTCCCAGGCAAGAATACTGGAGTGGGTTGCCATTTCCATACTACTATCATAGTACTCCACACCTTTATCCTAAAGTTCTGATCCATGTTTACCAGCCAGCCTTACAGTTTTATCCTGGACCACCCTGGTCAAATTTTCCACTGATGCTTCTCTAATGTAGAAACCAGGGCTGGCCTGTTCATGCAGTTATCCAGCACGCTGCTCCTTGTCTCGGGGCAGAGAAACTGGCTGGCTGCCCCCTGCACTTTTTCCTCGCCCTCCCTCCCTCCCTCCCAGCCCAACTTCCTCCACTTTCTCCTGTCCTCCGTTGACTTCTCGAGTGGAAATGCCTACGTGTCTCAAAGCTCCCCTCTTAGGCCTGATCGTAACTACACTGAACTCTGCTGCTGCTGGACCTCCCCACCCCCAACACCTTTGGTTCCTGCTAATGAGGGGGGGTCACCTCTGAGCAGCAGGTTTTGCCCAAGTGTGAAAACTCAGGCTATCTACATTCTGTCACTGCCAGGTAGAACCTACAGAGGTGCTGCTGTTGTTGTTCAGCCACCCGCTCGTGTCCAACTCTGTAACCCCGTGGAGTGCAGTACGCCAGGCCTCCTGGTCCCTCACCATCTGCCGGAGTAGTTCATATTCATTGCCTCAGTGATGCCATCCAGAGGTGTTCTTAACCTAGTGATAGATACCTGCTTCTTGGTACCATTAGGGTAAAAACCAGAACATGTGGCTTTCAGGGTGCAAATTCAAGGTCAGGGGATGGGGCTCCTATCAGGTCTTTTGGCATGCATTGGGGCAGAGGTGGGGACTCTTGGTTCTCCAACAATGACCTCCTTTGTCCATTTGCTTTCCTAGCTGAGGTCCCCAACAGGAAGTGGGTCGGGCAAATGTGGAAAAGGCCAATTGTTACTTCCCAAGATTCCAGCCAGAGAAAAGACAGGGTATAATATAAGGGTTATGATGTGAGACAGTCCTTCGAAGACTTTAATGTGGATGGTATTAAAATGCAGATTCTGGCTCCCTGGGTCTGGGGTGGGGCCAGGATTCTGCATTTCTAACAAACTCCCAGGGGATGTTGCAGCTGCACAGTCTGAACAGCAAGTATTATAAGGGGTTAGACCTTACCCCAAAGTCACTTGAGACCTAAAAATCCTGGAGGAATGGCATGTCTCCTTTCACAATTAAGAAGTCAGGTTAGAAGTTCAGATGACTAGTGAGAGGAAAGTCAATGACTCAGTCACTCTGGTTGTTGCCTAGATTGTCAGGGGAAAGATCCAGGATCAGCCAGGAGAACAGTGTCTGAATTTGAGGTGGGGTCTTCCAGTCAGAAGGAGAAGTTTTTATTGGGGGTATATAAGGGCTCAAGACTGTTTCAGCTACTGCTCAGTAAACATATGCTGTGCGCCGTGCTGTGTAGGTAGTTTGCATGAACAATGAATTCATTAACATGATGACCTTCTGGGTGCTCTGGCTCTCCTTTTGTACAGTAAGGAAACGGGCTCAGAGGGGTGAGTTAACATGCCCAAGGTCACACAGCTAATTCAGTGAGTGACAGGGCTGACTTTGGAACCCAGCCCTTCATTCTTAACCACTAGGCTATACTGTACCGAGGAATCAGCCATTCACTGAGGGGGAAGAAAGGATGTCTTATACAGAATGATTTTGGTTTCAAGTGTTAGAAAAGAAACTGACTTAAACAAAAAGAGTATATTGAGAATTCCCTGGTTGCCTAGTGGTTAGAATTCTGGGCTTTCACTGCCAGGCCCAGTTGCAATTCCTGGTCAGGGAACTGAGATCCTGCAAGCCGTGTGGTGCAGCCAAAATAAAAAAGGAATGTATTGATTTATATGACCACAAGGTCCAGAGGTAATGGCTTCAGGCACTGCTGGGTCCATGTTGGCATCTCTGTCTGGCAGATCTCCCTTTGAGGTAGCTAGAGCCAATAGCAGGTGGAATCCCTCCGGGTTCCCTCAGCAACGCTAGGCAACAGGGTGAGTCTTTCTCCCCACTGGTCCCAACAAATCCTACCTCTGTCTCCCACTGGCCAGAGAAAGTCATAAATTCATCCAGAAACAACCACTGCCAGGGTGAGGAGTATGAAGTAGTCTTGGGCCAGGGTTATATCCTCACCCCTTGACTGGGGGTGAGTTCATCCCCACTCAAATCATGAGGACTAGTAGTAGAAAAGATTCAGTTCCCTGGGGAAGTGGGTACTGCTATTAGAAAGGGCTGTTTAGGCAGACAGAAACAGGTCCACCTCTGTGGTGGTTTAGCCGGGATGCTGGTGTGGGACTTCAGGGTTCTTGTTCTCAACAAGGCTGGGCTGTGGGTTAGGTGGGGCGGAGGGCAGTGGAAGGGAACGACAAGGGAGTAAGCGGTGTTAAGGAGAGCTCAGTGTGCCCATCGGTGTGTCTCTCTCTGTTCCCAGGAAAGTTGCCGCCATGGCCCTGGGGCTCTTCCGGGTGTGCCTAGTGGTGGTGACGGCCATCATCAACCACCCGCTGCTGTTCCCGCGAGAGAACGCCACGGTCCCCGAGAACGAGGAGGAGATCATCCGCCAGATGCAGGCGCACCAGGAGAAGCTGCAGCTGGAACAGCTGCGCCTGGAGGAGGAGATGGCGCGGCTGGCGGCCGACAAGGAGGCCGAGAAGGAGGCGCTGGAGCGGGTGGCGGAGGAGGGCCAGCAGCAGAATGAGAACCGCACTGCCTGGGACCTGTGGAGCACTCTCTGCATGATCCTCTTCCTGGTGATCGAGGTGTGGCGGCAAGACCACCAGGACGCGCCCTCGCCCGAGTGCCTGGGCTCGGACGAGGACGAGCTGCCCGACCTGCAGGGCGCCGCGCTCCGGGGCCTCACCCTGCCCAACAGGGCCACGCTCGACCACTTCTACGAGCGCTGCATCCGGGGGGCCACGGCTGACGCCGCCCGCACCCGGGAGTTTGTGGAAGGCTTCGTGGATGACTTGCTGGAAGCCCTGAGGAGCCTGTGCAGCCGGGACTCGGACATGGAGGTGGAGGACTTCATCGGCGTGGACAGCATGTACGAGAACTGGCAGGTGAACAAGCCTCTGCTGTGCGACCTCTTCGTGCCCTTCATGCCCCCGGAGCCCTACCACTTCCACCCAGAGCTCTGGTGCTCCAGCCGCTCCGTGCCCTTGGATCGCCAGGGCTACGGCCAGATCAAGGTGGTCCGGGCCGACGAGGACACGCTGGGCTGTATCTGCGGCAAGACCAAGCTTGGAGAAGACATGCTGTGTCTCCTCCATGGCAGAGACAATGTGGTGCGCCGCGCCAGCAAGGCCGCAGACCTGCTGTGTGCCCCCGACTCCCCATACCTGGACACCATGCGCGTCATGAAGTGGTTCCAGACCGCCCTCACCAGAGCCTGGCACCGCATCGCCCACAAGTACGAGTTCGACCTGGCCTTTGGCCAGCTGGATACCCCGGGGTCCCTCAAGATCAGGTTCCGCTCAGGGAAGTTCATGCCCTTCAATCTCATTCCCGTGATCCAGTGTGACGACTCTGACCTGTACTTCGTCTCCCACCTTGCCCGGGAGCCCGGCGAGGGGACCCAGGCACCCAGCACCGATTGGCTCCTGTCCTTCGCTGTCTATGAGCGCCACTTCCTCAGGGTAACTTCGAAGGCGCTGCCCGACGGCGCCTGCCACCTCAGCTGCTTGCAGATCGCCTCCTTCCTGCTCTCAAAGCAGAGCCGCCTGACCGGTCCCAGCGGGTTGGGCAACTACCACCTGAAGACCGCCCTCCTGCACCTCTTGCTCGCCCGGCGGCCCGCCGATTGGAAGGCCGAGCAGCTGGACACTCGTCTCCACGAGCTGCTCTGCTTCCTGGAGAAGAGCCTGCTGGAGAAGAAGCTCCAGCACTTTTTCATCGGCAACCGCAAGGTGCCAGAGGCCATGGGGCTCCCTGAGGCCGTGCGCAGGGCAGAGCCTCTCAACCTCTTCCGGCCCTTTGTCCTACAGCGAAGTCTCTACCGGAAGACAGTGGACTCCTTCTATGAGATGCTCAAGAATGCCCCAGCACTCATTAGCGAGTACTCCCTCCATATCGCCTCAGACCATGCCAGCCTGCCCCCCAAAACTGTCATCTTGTAGAGCATCCACGACCCAGAGGGCCAGGTCACAGGGCATCCTATGCGTTTACACCCCTGGGGCCATCTGCAGGCCCTGTCCTGGGAAGACAGCAGGCTTTATAGGGTGCCATGGCTCAGCCTGCCAGGGAAGCCAAACCCAATAGCACAGAGGAAGTGGAATTCCAAGCCAGAACTGGTTTGCTTTCATGCTGTTGGGACTTGCCAGTTGAAGCTATTGTCTGGGTTTAGGGACTGATCCTCTGCAGCTGACTTTTGGATCACTCCCAATGACAAAGATGATGATAGAACTCTATGGATGCTAAGTTACGGGACAATGCAAATGGCGCAAACGATTTGGGTGTGATTCTTTTTATATCCCAGGTCCAATCTTTACTTGAATATCAACAAAGGATCTACAGGAATGCTAACAGGAACCCGAGTTAAGACCCTGCACCCTGAGTTTCCAGTAACCCTTGGTCGCAGGCATCTGCAGCCAAACAATGGGCATCAATATGGGAATTTGCAGCGTTCCATCCATAGCCCACACTATAGGGATCCCCACTGTGGCTGCCATTTTTATACTGTTTGGAGAAAAGACTTGGAGAGATTTGTAGCCCGAGTGGCTAACGTCTCTGTTGTACAGAAGTGGGTACCTGGCAGAGAGAAGTTGAAGATGGCCGTTGTTTCAGCTCCACATCTCACTCAAGGTGCACCCGTTTCTCTCTGCCCCTTCCCCTTGGATGCTGCATTTTGAACCCTGTATGGGCCACATACCATGTGGGTACAAGCTCAGTGGCTCCTCACCCTCACTTGTCTCCACAGCTGGTCTCTCCAGCCACCAATATGTTGGGAGGTGGAGGCAGTGAAGGTGGAAGATGAGAGAGAAAGAAGGGCACTCACAGGGTGCCTGGGGTGAAGGACAGAGCCTGGTACCTGGCGTGCTGGGGTTTGGCCTGAAGTCTGGCTTTCAGAGAAGATGCCCAGTTCAGAGAAGATCATAGAGATGAGGGATGCCATAGCCCTGGGTTTCCCTCAGGGTTCCAATCTTAGAGCAAAGGGCACCCAGAAGCAAGATCTGTTGTGGAAGCCCAGCTCCACATGCAGGCCCCACATTCCCTTGGTTGGTCATTCCAGTGGGGTTCCCTCAGTGCACAGAACCCCCCTTTCTGGATGGGCTTTGCTGGCCACACAGATGACCAACACCCGAAGAGCCTGACAGAGGCTTGCTTGACTGGGACACACGAAGACAGACTATAGGCACAGCCCACAGGCCTCATAGAGGGCACCTTGGCACTACTTGGCTGTGGTCCCTGGGCAGGCACTAGAGCCTGCGGTCAGAGTTGGCCTCCATCGCCAGACCTGGCTCATGGGGGCTTGAAGCCGCTCCCTCCTGTTTGTGGCTTCGCCAGCCCTCTGGGAGCTCTTCTCTTGGCATCGCTTCAGTCACCCTGCAGAAGGCCAAGCAGAAAGCAAGGATGAATGCTCCTTCCCCAGCACTCTCTCTCCAGGGCTGAAGCTGCCCATACCTCCCAGACTCATGCCTGATTCCTTGGGGGTGTCAGCCTTACTATGAATGAAGAAAAGATCCTGTCTCTGCCCCAGGAGTGCTCTCACCTAGCCTTGGAAATTTCCAGAAGATGGACAGTTTGCCTGACAGGGTTAATTTGCAGTGGTAGGCTCAGCTGTGATGAGGCATTACAGACTGTAGGAAGCTTTCCACATGAGCTGGGGTTAGACTGAGCAGCGCCTGGGCTTGCCCCTCCCCAGGCCCACATGGTCTCCAGCAATAACCCTAAGCACCCATTCTGTGGGGATTCATTTCCAGAGTTGGGGTGAATTTCCTTATTTATTGTCACCCATGCCTTTACTTTCCGATCTTCATCCTCATCTGATGTACTTTGAAGAGACCCCAGTGACCAAGAACCAATCTCCTTAAGCCAAGATCAAGCTTCAGTCTCCCCAAGCTTCTCCTTTGCTTCCAGGAGAAAATTCACCGAAAAATTACCTCCTGGCCTCTTGTTTATACAGAGACAACAACTGAGTGGGGAAATGGGGATCTTTTATGCACCAAAGCTGCTTCTGAAGCAGGAAGCAGCAGGACTCTTGGTGTTTCATGCTGCCTTATTTATATTAAAGGAAGAATTAAATTCTTGCAAGGAGTAGAAACTGGTAACGGTATTTGTTTTTAACTTCAGGAAATCTGTGAGCTTCCCAGGGCAGAGCTGGGGAGAGGGTGGATTTCCTACTGACAAGAGGAAGCTTTCACTCCCTTTTTTATTCTTATGCTTTTGGAAAACTTAAAAATTGCAGAATAGAGTATTTCTGGCCCATCTCTGAGGCAGCCTGCAGAGTTTCAGAAAGGGCCTTTGAAAGCCAGCTATAGGGTGGATTTCAACACAAAACCTTGTTTCACAGAGCTGATTGTGTGCAGAGAATGTGGGGGCCTGGGAGGAACATGAAGCTTTTGGCTTGAAGAAAACAGATTGCCTTATGAACAGAAGAGTCCTAGGCCTGTAGGGCACTTAGGCCTTTTCACTAAGGACAACTTTCTCCAAGGAATCTCTTTTCTTCCCAAGGATGCTAGACTTTACCCAGTGTCTGCTCACTTGCTATGCCAAATGCCCAGGACTTTTTCTGTGCATCTTGGCAAGTGAAATGAGTAGAGCTGGCCTGAAGCCACAAGGTTGGTTAGGTTGAAGGAGGACCCCTCCTCCCTCCTCAAAACCCCAGCCCCTTTCTCTACCTTGTCAAAGCACAGCTTAAGTTGAGAACCTGCTTTGTGATCAAACCACCACTGGTTTGTAATCAAGGCTGTCATCAGAATAACATGAAGAGCTAGGTCAAATACCCAGACGCTAACTTGAACCTACAGGGCACCCAGGTAAGGCTCCTAAAGCACCCTCAAGTAACTGATGATACCCCCTAGTTGAGCATGGCTTTTCACTTCCTTTCCAAAACTGTTAGAACACAGGCCTGGTAGGAGCCAATGAGCCTGCCTGGGATCTGTGGTCCAAGGGGAATCTGGCACCCCACGGGCTTCTGAGAATGCACTAGTGGTATGAGAAGCAGAGAGGATGCGGAAGGCAAAGCTGGTGATAACTCCTTTCTGGCAGGTCAGGTTAGGGTATCACTGGCATGCAGCTTCCTGGGCCACACAGCAGACTTCAGTGGAGTCTCTGAGAGTTCAGTGCAGGAATCTGCCTTCAGCCAAGTTCCCCAGGTGATGCTGGAAGTCCAAGAACCCCTGATAACTGGAGGATTAAGGAAGGCCTCACGGTCAGGCACTGCTGGACTGTTTCTCAAAGATAGGCAGGACTGACCAGGGAAAGCATTTCAGCCAGAACCGTGGAGTGAGAGCAGGAAAGCACCATTTGTGTGTGTGTGTGTGTGTTGCTCAGTCATATCCAGCTCTGCCTGCCTGGCTCCTCTGTCCATGGAATTCACCAAGCAAGAATACTGGAGAGGGTTGCCATTTCCTCCTCTCGGGGATCTTGCCGACTCGGGGGTTGAACCCAGGTCTCCTGCATTGCAGGCAGTTTCTTTACTTTGTGAGCCCTCAGGAAAGCACCATGGATATAGGCAACACATAAGCAGCCCCTGCTGTGCACCAAGCACCCTCTCAGCGCGGGTTTGGTGGCAGCAGTCGGCGAATGTCTCGGAAGTTCTAACTGAAGTCATTCTGCAGAGCATGATTCAGAACGTTCTCATGCCCTGTCTGGTCTCTGCCCCATGGGATAGAGCGGGAAGATTGTTTGGTTTGGCCAGTGGATGACAAGCAGAGAGAGCCAAGAACCAGTGACAGAGTGTGGGCCTCAGTTCACCTCCCCCGCCCCCTCCCCTGCCTCGCTGCTTCACCCCCTCCCGCTACCCTGGAGGGACATCTTTCAGAGTTAACATTTTTCCTCGCCATCCAAAGATAGCTTGTTTTTCTAACTTATGGTTTTTTTGTCTTTTTTAAATGAAAACAATGTAGTCATGATTAAAAAATCCAGCCACAGACAGAAAAATGAAGTAAGAGATAAAAGCCCCCCTCTTGACTTCTCAGCCCATTTCCCCCAGCATTAACGAATAGGAAGTGTCTTGTGTATGCTTCCAACATCCTTCTGTGTGGGTGCATGCGTGCGTGTTAAGTCACTTCAGTCCTGTCTGACTTTGCGACCCTTCGGACTATAGCTGCCCCCAGACTCCTGTCAGTGGGACTCTCCAGGCAAGAATACTGGAGTGGGTTGCCATGCCCTCCTCCAGGGGAGCTTCCCCACCCAGGGATTGAACTTCTGTTACGTTTCCTGCATTGGAAACAGATTCTTTACCACTAGCGCCACTTGGGAAGCACATTTTTCTGTGTATGTATCACATATGCGGATGCATCCCTTCCCTTTTCTTTTTTTTTTTTTTTTGGCCACACACTTCTTCATACAGCATCCCAGCTTCCCAACTAGGGATCACATCTATGCCCCCTGCATTCAGAGTGTGAAATCTTAACCACTGGACCACAGGGGAAGTCTGCCTTTTGTTCTTTTTCATGTAAATTGCACCACACCATCTAACTTTTCTTGGACATCTTTTTTGACTGTTTGATCTAACTTAGTCTTTAAAATAGCTGCTTGCTATCTCCCTGTGTGATAGATGTACCCTAATTTACCCACCCTCCCCTGAGAAACACTTAAGTATCCTTTTTTTTTTTTCTTTTTGCTGTTTAAACAACACTGCAGTGAACATCTCTGTATTAAACCTGCTTTGAGGTGAACATCTGCTAATAATTGCTATAATCTGTACTCACCAACTTGTTGCATATGGATTTACCAGCAAGAATCTTAATTTAAGAATAATCCCCTTATTTATTCTGGGATTTATTTAATCGTCATGACTGGATTGAGGAAAGGGCTTTTTTTTTAAACCAAGGACTGAGTAACAGCTTGTGTTCCACCCTGGGTCAGATGATCTTTAGGAAACAGAAATATAAAACAAGAGGAGGGCTCTTTCCCCAAGGAACTGGGTCTTAGGAAGGTAAGAACAGTGTCCACAAAGTAAGCCGGAGAAAAATGAAGACTGGTAAGTAATTGAAAGTGAAACAATATGGCTCTGAGGCCTGTGCAGGGAGACAGGAATATGAGAGCTACCGGATCAGCTTAGGGTTTGAGCTGTTAAGACAAACATACATCTTTTCATCATTCATCCAGTCACGTATTCATGTATTTGCCCCTTCACAAAACACTGCGTGACTGGCTATCACTGGTATATGCCAGGCACTGTGCCAGCTGCTAGGAAAACGAAGTGTAAGTGAGACCCTTTGTCCTTTTATACAGGAAAATGTGAAGAGCCTCCCCAAAGAAAATCAAATCAGTACGATTGTCGTTCCATCACCAAATCCCTGTGCTAAATTCATCTGAGCCCTGGGGCTGGTTTATTTTCTCCTGCACAATGAGGAACCCCTGCTTTAGAGATGACAGTGGTGTTTTCTATCCCTTTGGTGTTTCTCTACAGCCCCACAAAGAGACCAGAAGATAAAACTGTCAACAACAAATTCCCACCAAGATGGAACCACATAAATCTCAGTGATGTTCAAAGATATTTCTTTTTTCCTAGATCAGAACAGGTAGGTCTTAGAAGTGCAAGGTGAGATTTTCAGGCCAGGGGTGGGGGTGGGGATAGGGAATCAGGAAGAATTCAGTCTCATCTGTCTCTTTAAAACCCACTGATCAGTAATATTTAAGGTTTCTCTTAGGGTCAGTTTATTTGAAATAGAAATAGAAA